GTAGGGGAAGTTTTCTGTCATTATTTCTTCAAATAGGTTTTCAATATCTTGCTCTCTCTTGCACTCCCATAATTCAGATTTTGGTACTCTTGAAGTTGTCCCAGAGGCTCCTTACACTATCTTCATATTTTTGGATTCTTTTTTCTTTTTGATTTTCCGGTTGGGTGATTTTCGCTTCTTCGTATTTCAAATCTTTGACCAGATTCGTGCGATCCTCTAGTCTGCTGTTGGATCTCTGTATAATAATCTTTATTTCAGTCAGTGTATGCTTAATTTCTAATTGGTCCTTTTTCATATCCTTGAGGGTCTCACTAGATTTCTTGAGGATCTCACTAAATTTATCGGCGGTTTCTAGAAAATTCTTGAAAAACCTTGCAACCGTGGTTTGAACTCTATATCCAGTAGTTTGATTTCCTCCATTTCTGTCATCTGTGACCTGTTTCTTTGTGTCCACATTTTTTATGCTTCCCTGTGTTGATAGAGTGGCTTGGTGTGATAGGTGTCCTATAGGGCCCAGTGACTCAGCCTCCCCAATTACCTGTGGTGGACACTCTTGGTGCACCCCTTTGTGGGCTTTGTGCACAGTCTTGTTGTACTTAAGCCTTGATTATTGTCGTTATTACTGGGAGGAATTGACCTCCAGGCCAATTGGCTGTGAGAATCAGCTGTGTCTGCAGTGGGAGAAATTCTGTGCTGGAGACACCTTTATGGGGCAAGACTTGCTTCAGTGGGGCTTTGGTGCTCACTGAGTCTGCCCCCTGAGTGTGTCCCTTATGGATTGGAGGAGTTGTAATCTGGATGGCCCCACTCTGACCACTGGTTACACTGGCTCTTGGATCTCTAAGGAGGAGATAATTTAGCCTCTGCCTGAGGCTACCCAGCAGGAGCTATGGAGAGATCTGCAGATTTCTCTTCTTTGTTTGGGATTTTCAGGTGCCTAGATGAGGCCCAGCTGTGAAGCAATGCAAGCTGCTGTGGGGCCTTGGGCCTTCTTTTGGATGTTCTGGGTCTCTCTGACCCAGCTGCAGTTTGTTAGGTAATTGTAGATTGCAAAGGGCCAGGTCATTCATATGCAAAAACCTCTGCACACAGCTTAGGTGGGGCGGGGTCTCAGGGAATCAACAGGGCGGAGCAAACAGCTATGGCTGCTCCTCAGTCCTGCCCTAAGAGATCCTGGGTCTCAGTGTCCCACGGTAATTGCACCTCTGAGAGAAAGCCGCCCTCGAGTTCTGATAGCTGCCAGACAGTCCAGTTTCTCCCCGTATGAGTCTGGGTCCCCAGAGACTCTCCCGGAACTGGAGGTCAGAGCAGTTGGGAGCTTGAGCATCCCTCCCTATTGAAAAAGACAACCATCTCCTCAGTTGCCAGCCCTTTCCACGTACGCCTCTGTACCTCTGCACTTTACTTCCGCACCTCCTCTGAGTCTCAGTGTGCTTTTCTCTTTTTTTCTAGTTGTAGAATTTCCACTCAGCCAGCTTTCCTGTGGTTCTGGATGATGTCCATTTTGTCATTTAGTTGTATTTTTGAAGTGGTTGTGCAAGGCAGCAATTTCTTGTGTTTACCTTTGCCGCCATCTTGGTTTCTCTCCTTGAGGATGTTTTTAGCAAAGGCCAGCTTAGGAGTACCGTAATTAAGTTAATAACAATGTACCTACCTATATAGTTTTAAGTTTAAAAAATTTGGCTCTCAAAAGAAATTTCAGTCGTTGTACTGTTGATATTTGGCTCTATTGACTAATGAGTTTGCCGACCACTGTCCTAGCCAATTAGGAACATACTTCTGCCTACACCTCAAGGCCTGGGTCATGGGTGTCAGACCCCAAGCCATTTAGGGATAATGAATAATGAATATGAGAAAAGAAAAGGGAGAGGAAGGCTGAGAGAAGAGAGGAGCCATCTGATCTGGGTAGGGAGAGGGGAAACTTAGCCTCAAAATCAACAGCTGTGCTTTATCTGTGTGACCCTGGATCAGTTTCTTCATAGTGATATGGTTAGAATACAAATCCTGAAAACCATTATTTTCTAAAATTGTATTAAGGGAAAGAAGATGGGAAACGGAGACAATAGATATGTTGGGAGGTATTCACATATAAAGGCCCTCAATTGCTACTTAGAATCTGACAAAGAAATTCAGCAACTATCTGAGTAATGTTTCCTAAATGCAAAGTTACGCAAATATAGTGCCTGAAGCACTATAAATTCTATTTTAAAATTTTGTTTGAGGCAACCTAAAATATATCACTGTAAGTATATTCTGGTTCATTTCTAGGAATATCTTGTAACTGCAGGATGATTAAGTTTACAATCATGTAGTAGTGGTAGAGAATTTTATTTCCGTTAAAAGGTTGGAGAAAAATTGTTCTGGTATTTAATATCCACAGTCTAGACTTTCTTCATTTTATCTAACCCCAGTCACTTGCTATATATTTATGTTGAATTTCAAAACCAGAAATTTGAAGGGAAATAACACAAACTTAATTTGGAGTAAAAACTAGTGTGAGCAGTGCCTTTTTATTCCAAGATTGTGAGAGAAAGTAACATAAACTACATTTTGATTGTCTATATCTGAAAATGTGGCAAGAATTTCTTTGTTTATAAGTAAAAATAGGCATTATTTCTACGATCTATATTAGAAGTTGAATTAGGTCTCTTTGAGGTATTTATTAAGAGAAATGGATTTATAATTGTTGGTAAAAATAAAATTTAAACTTCATTTATTGTTTCCTCTGAAGTGGGTTTAGTGTATACACTTAAGTAATATTTTTCATATTACCGTGTCCAGTTTTAATTTTTTTTTACTTATATATGTACTACAAGGACTATTTGATATTTTCTGCCTTAAGTATTCATTTTGTATTAAATATTATGAGCTTACTTTTATTTATTTTTTAAAAAAATGTTTTTATTGATTTTTAGAGAGAAGAAGGGAAAGGGATAGAGAGATAGAAACATCAATAAGAGAGAAACATTATCGATCAGCTGCCTCCCACACATCCCCTACTGGGGATCAAGCCTGCAACTCAGGCATGTGCCCTGACCAGTAATCAAACTGTGACCTTCTGGTTCATGAGTCAACACTCAACCTCTGAGCCATACCAGCTGGGTGATCTTACTTTTAGAGTGAATGAATGCGAGATTGAGAAAATGATGGAGAGAGCTGATTTACTTGTTCTGTGCAGTAATGGTAAACATGGGTTGCAATCCACTTTTATTTTAAATGGACTCATGGAAAAAGCACAAATTAGAATTAAAACAAGTTGGCAATTAGGTCACATATTTTACTAAGCTGTGATTGGTAATATGAAAAGTAACTTCACAGTAGACAGTCATATTTCTTCAGGTTACAAAGGTCAATGAGAAGAGAATGGTGGTGCAGCTAAGCTAAAGATGGTGCAGGTATTTGAAGACTGTTTTTGCCTCATAGGTGTGCATTTATATTATGTCGGGGGAGAGGTCTATGCTGAGTGTGTGAGCGACAGCAGCATCTTTGTCCAGAGCCGGAACTGCAACTATCAGCATGGTTTCCACCTAGCCACTGTCTGCAAGATCCCCAGTGGTTGTAGCCTCAAGATCTTCAGCAACCAGCTCTTTGCTCAGCTACTTGCTCAGTCAGTTCACCATGGATTTGAAGTCGTCTATGAGTTAACTAAGATGTGCACTATCCGGATGAGTTTTGTTAAGGTAAGGAGTGCTTGCTTCCACACTGAAGATGGAAACTGAAAAACAAAAAAGGCATTCTTTGGTTGATGTGGAAGTTACATAGCCAGTTCTAGTAGACAGCAGGGGGTTTTTTTGGAAGTTTATTTCTATGAGTATGATCTCTCTTGTTTAGCAATTATAAGAAAATTCTTAAGCATAACACTTTTGGAGGAAAAACAACTTTAAGTAGTTATCTGATTTTTAATGCAGAAGATAAAGTGACAATAATATTTTTATAAGATGCAAGGCTATAGAGATTTTTCCAATCCTCAATTTGCCAAGCATGATTATCCTATATAATAAAGAGGTGATATGCACATTAACCCTCATGCCCTCACAAGATGGCTGCCTACGACCAGGCCAGCAGGGGGGTTAGTGAGGGATGATCAAACAACTGCACAAATTTTGTGCACCAGCCTCTAGTAACTTAATAAATGTTGATGAATTTGCCTGAATGAAATTAGAGACTCCTCTAACTCTTAGCATACAGGCAAATGGAGGAGGTAATATTCTATATAATAAAAGGCCAGAGGTGTCACAACTGAAATGACCAGAGACCAGACCACCATGGCCCTTCATGGGCTGGCCCTGCTCCCAATCAAGTGGTTACGGGCAATCAAGCAGGCATACAGAGTGGTTTAGGGTGATAAGGTAGGCAGGCCAGCTGTTAGTGGCGATCAGGTAAGCAGATGGCCCCTCACTGGGCTGGCCCCACCCCCAAGCAAGTGGTTAGGGGCAATGAGGCAGGCAGAGTAGTTAGTGGTGATCAGCTAGGCAGACCAGCGGTTAGGGGTGATCAAGTAGGCAGGCAGTGGTTAGGGGTGATCAGGTAGTCCGGCCAGCGGTTAGAGGAGATCAAGTAGGCAGACGGCCCCTTGCTGGGCTGGCCCCACCCCCATGCAAGCAGTTAGGGGTGATCAGGTAGGCAGGCCAGTGGTTAGGGGAGATCAGGTAGCAGACAGCCCCTCGCTGGGCTGGCCCCGCCCCCCAAGCAAGCAGTTAGGGGCAATCAGGCAGGCAAGCAGAGTGGTTAGGGGTGACCACATAGGCAGACCAGCAGTTAAGGGTGATCACGTAGGAGGCAAGTGGTTAGGGGCCATCAGGTAGACAGGCCAGCGGTTAGGGGAGATCAGGTAGGCAAGTGGCCCCTTGCAGGACTGGCCCTGCCCCCCAGCAAAGAAAGAGGGAGGCCCAGGCCAGCCAAGCCATCGCACCCCAGCCTGTCACCTGCAGAGGGAGGCCACTGCTGGCAGGGGAGGGGGTCAGCACTGCACAGATGGCAAGCAGTGGAAGCGGTGAGGATGGGGCCAGCTGCCTTGCAGACAGGGGAAGGAAAGCCCTCAGGCCAGGCCAAAGGTCCCTAACCGAGGGTCCCAGATTGTGAGAGGGTGCAGGCTGGGCTGAGGGACACCCCCCTCCGGCCCAGTGCACAAATTTTTGTGCACCCAGCCTCTAGTGTGTGTGTGTGTGTGTGTGTGTGTGTGTGTGTGTGTGTATATATATCCATCCAAACAATCAGTATGTCTTGTAGATGTTCTTCAAGTAAAATTTATTAGTCTTTTAAAATTACCATGAAAAATAATTGTCCAGTTTTTCTGTACTCAAATTATGTTTTTATTGTATTTTTAATTTTAGTAATTTTAAAAAATCAAGAATACAAATACAATTTAAAAACGACTTCTTGAAACTATTTCTCTTTTGTGATGACAAAGCAGTTTTATTCAGTTTTGCTGGTAAGCTGTAAAAAGCATTTTTACATTGTAAAACAATTAACTATTATCTGGAAATTTTTTCCAATTTCTGATGCTTTAGACTCAGCAGAGGGGATTAAATTGCCATTAATGAAAAATCATTTGAATTGTATGGTTATTTTTCCAGGTCTTTGTTTTTAAAATTAGGATGAAATACCAATACCTCAGAAGTAATTATTTCATTATAATATATACTTGCATAGAAATCTGATTTTCCAAAAATCAACCAGATGTATTTAGTAGATATACAACATTTAAATCATAAAGCTGCACAATTCACTGAAAACAAAGTCCCTAATATTTCAGGGACTTTAAAAAATTCTTAGCAAATATAACTACAGATGATCAGTTTAAAAGAAATTTTAAAGCTCTCATCACATTAAAGAAATGTGTAACAATGGGAGGTGATGGATCTTAACTAAACTTATCGTGGTAATCATTTCGCAATATATGCATATACCAAATCGTTATGTTGTATACTGAAAACTGATACAATGTTATGTATCAATTATATCTCAATAAAACTGGGGAGGGGGGAGACAGTACAAATTAAAAGAACATAAAATATTTCATTACTAATTTCATACTGATTATATATTGATTTGATAATATTTTGGATATATTGGATTGATTAAAACATTACTAGATTTTTAAAAATACAAATGAAATAAATTATAGATGACTAAACACTAGTGCCTATTATTGGGGGATGATAGACTAGATCATCTTTAAGGACTCTTTCAGCTCTAATTCTTACTAATTCTAGGGCTCATTTCATCAGTCAACAAATATTTTTGAGCACCTATCATGTGCCAGGTTAGGCACCATTCTAGGAACTGGAATACATCAATGATTATGCAAAGATCTCTGCCTTCATAAAATCAATATAATAGGAAAGAGAAACACAATAAACAACAGCTATAATAAAGAATTTGAATGTAAAGAAAAAATGCAGAGCAAACGAAATTGGAGTGCTGGGGAAGAGGTAGATTGCAGGTTTTAACGAGGTGGTTAGGGGAAGCCTCATTGAAGAAGTGAAACATGAGCAAAGATTTGAATGACACAAGAAAGATAGCCATAAGGATATCTGGGGTAAGAGCAGTAGACACACAGGGAAGGGCAAGCTCAACTGCAAGAAGCAAGAGCATGGCTAGGAATTTGTAGTAGCAAGGAGACTGGAGCATAATGAGTGAGGGTGATGTGAGATCAGAACTGTAACAGGGAATCAGATCAGTGCTTTGTAAGTCAGCCCAAGGGTTTTGGCTTTTACTCTAAAGAGAAGGGGAGCCATTGCAGGGATTTGAGCAGAAGATTTTCATGATCTGACTTAGGCTTTTAAAGGATCATTCTGGCTGTTGTGTGGATGCAGGCAAGGTTGGAAGTAGGAGGACCAGTTAGGAGGCTACAGCAATATTCAGATGAGAGATGATGGTTGCTTCCAGTAGGAGAGTTCTAATAGAAGTTGTGAGAAGTAGACGGATCTAAATGTGAAGGCTGACTTGATGTGGGGTATGAGAAAAAGAGAGGAGTTAGATGAAGTTTTCTTTAATCAAGATGGAGAAGACGCAGATGGCTCAGGTTTGGATACAAGCAAAGAGTTCAGTTTTAGTGAGAATAACTTTGAGGTGTTTGTCACACGTTCAATGAAGTACTGAGTAGGCAGTTGGATGTACAAGTTAGTCTGCACTTGGAGAGAGAAAGCTGAATTGAGAATGTAAATTTAGAAATTATCAGGTTATGGACAGCATTGAACTCCATGAGCCTGGATGATATCACCAACAGTTTGAGTTTAAACAGAGAAGATAAGGGGTTCCAGGATGGAGTCCTGGGACATTTCAACTTTAAAAGATGGTGGAGAATGGAGACAGGGGGAAGATGGCAGCATAGGTCAATGCCTGTACTCATCACCTCCCACAACCACATCAAAATTACCGCTAAAACAGAACAACCATCATCCAGAACCACCAGAAAGCTGGCTGAATGGAAGTCCTACAACTAGAGAAGTAAATAAGAAAGCACACTGAGACTGGTAGGAGGTGCAGAGGCATGGAATGGGCTGGTCCAGCACCCATGTGTGCCGCTTTTTTAATCGGGAGGGAGATCATCTCTGTGGAGGCTGCCAGGAGGAGCAAGGGGTCCCAGAACCACACCAGATTCCCAGCCCAGCATCCCAGAGCTGGGAAAAGAAATTCCGGTGGTCAGTAAGAACTACAGGTTGTAAAAACCAGTGTGGATTGGGGCTCAGTGACACAGAGGCTGCTGAAGACCCATCTGTTCCTCTTTAAAGCCCAGCACCACAAACTGAACTTACAAGATCCTGATTCCTCTGAGCTCCAGCACCAGGAAAGGTTCTGGGGGACACACACATACAAGGAGGAACTGGATTGTCTGGCATCAGGGAAGAAACTCAGGGTGGCTTTCTCCCAGACAGAGGTGCTCACAGGGATTATTGTTCCTATGCTGGGACCTCCCAGGTCACAGGGCTGACTGGCAACCATTTCTGTTTGCTCTGCCCTGGTGACTCCCTAAGATCCCGCCTCATCCAATTTGCAATTCCACCCAAGCTGTGTGTGTGTATTTTGCATATGAATGGCCTGTCCTTGCTCAGGCTAAAGTGTCTCAAACAAGCTGCAGCTGGGTCAGGGAGTCCCAAACTTATCAATAAAAGGCCTAAGACCTGGCACTAGCACCAGCCTGCCTTGCTTCATAGCTGGGCCTTATCTGGGCACTTCCAAACCTGATACAAAGAGGAGGAATCTGCAGATTTCTCTGTAGCTCCTGCTGGGTAGCCCCAGGCAGTGGCTGACTTTGCACTTCCCTGGAAACCCAAGAGCCAGTGTACCCAGTGGTCAGTGTCAGCCTATACAAGATTACAACCCTACACATCCATAAACAACACACTCAATGAGCAGACTCAGTAAGCACCAAATCCACACTGAAGCAAGTCCTGCTCCATAGGGGTGTCTCCTGCACAGCAGCTCTCCCACTGTAGTCACAGCTGGTTCTCACAGCCAATTGGCCTGGAGGTCAATTCCTCCCAGTGACACCAATAGCAATAAAGTCTCAACTACAACAAGACTGTGCTCACAGCCCACAAAAGGGTGGACCTAGAGTTCCCAACTCAGGTGATTGGGGAGACTGAGCCACTAGGCCCTATATGACACCTACTACACAAGGCCACTCTACCAATTCCAGGAGACATAGCAGCTCTACCCAATACATAGAAACAAACACAGGGAAGCAGA